TCATTTATATACGTATTTGCATGAATCCTGCCGGTCAAAAAGTATAGACTATCAAAAGAAAAAAAAGAATGCTTTCAGCCTCTTGGCTTATTATCAGCCACCATATAGTCATCATGTCTCTCCTTATAGCTACACAATATGATCTGTTAGAACATTCGTTACTTTTTTCTCGCTGTGTTCTTGACATAGCGGACCATTTCTCTTTCTTTTGATCTTTTAATCGAAAAATCCAAACTCACTATTCTTAAAAACAATATTATGATTTTTAAAATTATTCTAGCTATTAAAGACGTCTCGTGATGAAGACTGGAATATCGGAAATATTGTGCACACCTTGATTAACCGACGCCACGGAGAGAAGGCGATTGCTTATGCGGAGTGCCATGATCAGGCTTTGGTAGGAGATAAAACAATTTCGTTCTGGCTTATGGATAAAGATATGTACACACATATGAGCACGTTGAGTCCACCAAATCTCACCATAGATCGAGGTATTGCACTACACAAAATGATCCGCTTCATTACTCATACCCTGGGTGGAGAAGGTTACCTCAACTTTATTGGTAAGCTGTTGTGACACTACCTGACACTACTTTTTTCATTATCTACCTAATTTGAGATAGCAGCGGCAGCAGCATCGTTATCTTCCTCTGTGATTCGAACTTAATGCCTCGTGGGGTAGGCTTATATGAGCGCTCAGAGGCATATGCCATATGATATGGTTTGGTCGCATTTTCATGGCCGCTCTTCAGCTTATTGTGCAAAGATAATTTAGATTAAACAAGCTTGTTACATTTTTATATAACCTTCATAGGTACTTGTTTGGGGCTATATATTGCGATCTTGTCACATGGATTAAAATGTAATTGATGAACAATCTAAAAAATTTTGACTATGCTTTCCAAGCTATCATCTTTATTCTCATTTGCGTTATTAGGCATTTATAATGAATATTCGTTCATTTCATCTTCTTATTCTTAACCACTTTTGAGTAAAATTTCCTTTTATTTAGATTCTTAATATATCTCGTATGTTTACTGCTTTTTGTAATCACAACCAGGCAACGAATTTGGTCATCCTGAATGGCTCGACTTTCCCAGAGCTGGCAACAACAACAGTTACTATTACGCCCGACGTCAGTGGAATCTAGTTGATGATCGAACACTCAAATATCAGTATCTCAACAACTGGGACAGATCCATGAATCAGCTTGAGGAGAAATACGGTTGGCTTAGTTCTCCACAGGTAATATAGCTCAGACGCAAGGTGCAATTTAAAAGGGTTGATTTACTTAGTTCTGCGATAGTCTGATTTTCCTACTACTTGAAGATT